TATATATATATATATATATATATATACGTATATTGCGTTTTTTGTAGCTTAGTGCTACCATAGCGTACATGGGGACAGTTTGAATGACAGCCTTTAGAAGCTGACTCTGACCTCCATATTCACAGCAGCAGGGAAGGATGGCAACTAAGCATTCAGAAGTGCCCACTTTGTATTGACTGCACATAAATGAATGCAACATAAATCCTGTCCAGACCAAAAGCCACAAAATGAAATTATTGTATACGGTGATGCAGTGCTACCTTTAGGTATAAAATGGCTAATAAAGTCCCCAAATTCAGCAGGTTACATTATTGATCCATGTTAATAGTCTGTTATGCAAGAGAACACAAGGTTAAAAGTAGAAACCATCTTATCTGTTTCAAACTGGCTTTACTAGTGTGTGCTATTCGGTCAACCTATGTGGCAAATAGAGATTCACATTAAACTTAATTCAATACCCCTCCCTCCATACTAATGGACAACAGTAGTGTTAACATTTCTTTAAACTTTCCTTGATTCGTCTTTATAATCATGCCTATTTTTATTTGATTCTGATGTTTTTGTGATTAGGATATTTATTGTGTTTCTATTCTAAACTTTTATTGTTTAACATTTGATTGAGAGGATTTGCCATATTTAGGAAAAAGGCAGATATCACACACCTAACCCCCCACCTCCACCTCACCCATTACTATCTGATCAGTCCGTCTCCTCTCTGTCTACAGCTTATTTCTTATCTCTGTGGCAGAGATGCTCCTTCTGCTCCTCCGGAAGTTCTCCTTTTCTTTAAGCCTAAACCATTTAAAGTCACATCAAAGCGCAACTTCTTACTGGTTGTCGAGAGAGAAACCTTTTTATCTGTTCAAACCTGTAAAAAAGGCTCATGCACTCCTGGAACTAGTAGCTCATGATTGAGTGACAGATCCGGCCAGTGCGGATAGTCCCTGACTGAAAGTTTGAAAACGTTTAAGAGCCACTCTGTCTGCTGCATTGTTTACCAAGCAGAGCCGCGGGACAGGACAGGCTCCCCTGTCTTATCAGCGACACTCCGGGTTTGTGAATGGGACAATAATGAGCTCGGTTTGATAGAGCTGCACTGTCAGGTCAGATGTCACTTCATCCATTAGCTCTTCGATGGCTACCTTTGATAAAATCGAGAAACGCTTTCAGATCCGGATTGTTGTCAAGTTTGATTAACGCATGCGTAATGAATGCGTAACGCGCATCCATGCAGACTTTAGGAGAAGAAAATAAAGAAATAAACAAAATTTCATAATTTATTTGTAAAGAAAATGGATCATAGATGGCAAATATAAAACAAAAAAGTAGACATATGTTTACATTTAATAACCAGCCTTTAACACCCTGCAAAGAACCCATGAAAATGGTGAATCAGCCCCTCTGACTCAATTGAATCTGTCATCTGGTTGCTGATGGTGGACACGCCGTGGAAACTGTAGCCATACAGGTTGCTGCTTCCGCATCCGATAGCTGGGTTATAGTGTCCTGAAATCACGTTGTATGGCTCGGAGAGATGCGGAGCACCGCCACAGATCTTCCCGTCCCGCACCAGAACTGGCACAGCAACGCGCCTCGGTGCCGGTGGGAACCCGGCTAGCTCCAGAGACCTGTCCTGCCTCTGCCGCTTGCATTTGTACCTCCGGTTCTGAAACCAGATTTTGACCTGAGTGGAGGTGAGTCTGAGAGTCTGGGCCAGCTGTTCCCTCTCCGGGGCGGACAGATAGCGCTGCTGCCTGAAGTGCCTCTCCAGCTCGGACACCTGGGACTGAGAGAAGAGGACCCGGGGCTTCCTGCGCAGCCTGTTTGCGCCTCTAGGGTCACGGTTACAGTCAGGTGATGAGTCCGGACCGCGCACATCTGCAGCCAGGGGAAAAGATAGAAACATTTGATCCATTTTTGGTTTATAACCTAATTATAACAATGGAAACTAATAAAAATATACAAAGTCTGATGTCAATTCTGGTATAACTTCCCCAGTTTTATAAAATATATTAATTTTCTTTCTGTCCTTTTTTCGTTTTTTTTAGGCATTTTTTTATGATGATATTTAATAAATGTTACATTTTTCTAAAAGTTTGAAATGGTTTACTTTGAAAAAATAAACCTTCATGTTTTCTTTATGATTGAACTGAAGGCTTCATTCAGCGCCATCCACTTTCGGTAAGGCTGACATAATTTTACCTTTTCATTCACAATGCATCCTGCTCTCTGTGTTGGAGCAAAGATGTACATTTTTTATACAAATGTATCCTTGTAATTTTAAACAGTTTCTGCATCTTTGCAATAAATGACATGACCAAAAGTTGACCTTTATGCCTAAAAACGATCATATAAATGCAAAAATAACACTTTCTGAGCCTAATTATTGGTTATTTGATTAAAAGTAGCTGCCCTATATATTCAGAATATTAACATATAATTGTCAATTCTAACCACAAATATTAATTTGAAGATGTTTCCTCAGTCAAGTTTGTGTTATTGTTCAGCACAAAAGGCGAAGGATTATCTATTATTTATTTTAAAGTTACTAAATAAATCAGTCCCTAAGACCCAACAATGAGGAAATGAAAAAGACTGTTTTGAAATATTTATTGCTTTTTCTTCATGCTTTATCTTGTTTAGCAGCAGTAGGAATGCTAAAGAAACACTGGCTGCTATAGTCTAATTTATATACTGTATATATATAATATTTATATATTACTGATGTAGTTATTGTTCTTGAATACTTCATTTAAATAGCTTAAACATAGTTTTATTTAATTCCTTTACATGTATACAATAATTTTAACACTAAAGTAAAACTTTCTACCAAACATACGTGTTTAATACTGCAGCATTTTGCAGTGAAGATTTTAGCTGTGGCTGTCTGAGAAAAGCTTTCCAAACCTCTTATGGACTAGATTAATAGTTTATTACTATTTCATTACAATAAATGCCTCAGTTACAAAATATTTACTATATTTTTTGTCTTTCCAACATTGGAGGATAGACATGATTGGATTTTGGGCAGTCAAGGCATTGTTTAAGATGATTCCCATGCAAAGAGGGAACCACGATAAAACTGTGGATCCACAAAAAAA